TTCGACAAGAGCCAAGGACTCAGGACTCAAGAACCTTGTTTAATTGTGGCGTAATTGGAAAGTAATTAAAGTGAAAAATTCCTTAAAGCCAGTGGTCTTTTGTTTGGCGGTAAACAATGGGGCTCCTACACTTTCCCCACCGAAACAATGCAAATAGTTTTATTCCTGCGGTCCAGCTGCTGTCAATATAAATAATTTTTTTTTTAAATTGCTATGGGCAACACTGCGCTGTGAATTATTATTCTTAAATTTATGCATTCAATAAATATTGCACAGTGCACAGTTCATAACGCTTTCTGATTGATTTGATTCCGCCTGACAAATGGGACAAGTGAGCCAATCAGTGTCAAACCATATATGCATTTAATTTATTAAATGCCGAAATTCGAAATCCCGGTGATGAGCTGGTTCTCCATAAATGCTACCTCATTTGCAGCACTTGGCATCATTTTTAATCCCGCCCGAAAAGGGCTCAAATGGCACTAATTAAGGGCAGCACATGTTGGATTGTTGGTTTGTTGGATTGGCTGGCAAGATGAATGTCCGCAAAATGCGGCAAAAGGGAAGACCATTAGTCATGGCAAACAAGGACATGGAATTCAGGATACCCAAAAGGGGGGGGGGAAAACCCCCCATGCAGTCCACTTAACAGATCATTTATTCAACCATCTGCAATATTCATGTGTCTAAGGCTTCAGTTGGGCATTATGGAATTATTACAGCCCACCGTGTATTGTTCATAATTATTTGCCGTAATTACAAACAGTTTGCTTTGTGTGCGCACCATTTATAAATACAGTTTGTAATCGGCTTTGGCTGGCCCAGAGATAAACAGCAGTTAGGTTTCCATTTTTGGTGGTGAAAATCCTTTCATCTGCCCGAAGGACTTTTTGATAGTATTCGAGTGATGTCGACGTCTGGCCGAAAGGCCCTTAACCTTTCTGGAATTATGTTCGCCTGTACGCAATTTCACGATTCATCGCGTGCCAGACGGGGAATTATTTGGTTTTACGTCCCTTAGGCAAATGGAGGATTTTCCCTTGACTACTGAGTGATATTCGCTGACTTAAATCGAAGAACTCTTTAAATATACGACTGGTAATTAAAACGACTGTCGCAGTCGCAGTCGCTCACACTTCAACGGAGTGGCTGCCATGTAAATTCCCCCGTTTTACATTAATAATAACTCTCGAATATTCATTGAAAGTCAATGCATTCCGTATGCTGAAATGCAGCATTCGACTCTCCGATCGAATCGAATAAATTAAATGTCAACATGTGTCGAATGCTCTGCAGTTTGGTCACTTAATCACGTCGACCGATTTCGCAATCGACTCCTTGAACTCCTTTGGCCAACTGATGAATGCGGCCTTTCAACACGATCCGTAATCTGATGGCATAATCCCTGGCCCATAAAACCTATTCATAAGCCATATTTGCGCGGTCGCATTTGCTTTTTTTTCGTTTAGCGGATTTAGAATTTAGTATTTGACAGACAAACCATAAATATTTGCACCACATTGAATAATGAAACACCCGGGAACAAACAATGAAACACATGTATCCCAAGAGCTTAAATGGCGGCAAAATACATACGTTAAGCCCCTGGACAAATGCCATCGTCCCTGTGCCAACAACAGGTTGAATAAATACGCGCAATTTGAAACTTAAACAATGCCGAATTATTTGCCAAACAATAGGCACAAAAGCAAACCCAGTTTCATTGTCTGACTTTGCCATTTCCAGCCCCGTGGGAAAATGTGACTTTTATTTTGTAAATTGGTCGAGCAAACCAAATCAGATTGGGTGTATATAAATATATTGATTGGGAATAGCTAAATATATTCATCAAATGCGTTATGATATTGTCATTGGAAATGATTTTGAATGCGCTGCCGCAGAAATCACTTATGTTAATGTCTAAAAGTATGCAATAAAAATGAATAAGTTGATTGGGCCTATGAATTGTAAATATAGTATTGCATACTTTTAGACATCTTTGTTCTGTAATAAAAATTAAAACACTTCTGACTTCTGTGGAATATCATATTGGAAGAAATAACCTTTTAAATTGTAGGTTATTTCGTACGTTATTGCGTACGAATTGAAAAAATAGTATTGCATACTTTTAGACACCTTTTGATATATATTAAAAATAAAAATCCTTTTGACTTCTGTGGAGTATTGTATTGGAAGAAATAACCTTTTAAATGGTGTTAATATAGAAAGCCCTTCAATTTTCCTAAAAAATATTATCTGTTTGTTTTTAAGAAACTCAATCTTTTCATTACTGTTATCAAAAATCTAATATTTTGGTTTTATATTTTTCTGCAATGTTCTATTTTGCAAATATATACAACAAAAGAAATTCAAGTCTTGTATTTTCGTGGCAAACAATTGTATGCATTGTGGAAATAAATGAATAAAGCCAAACGAATCCAGAGCCAACAATTTTCCGTAAGGCACGTCGTGAGACGTGCGGTGTGTAATTGCCATTATCTTTTAATTTTTTCCGCAATCGGTGGCCGTTCAGCGAGTAGTTGGATATTTTCGCCGGACTGACAGCCGGCGTGATTGGGTTTTAATGAAGCTGCATCGCGGCTGCCAAAGAGCCAAAAGCCAAAGGCCAGGGAAGATTAATGAGTGTGGTGGAACCAATTGAGAGGTCGTCGAATTCAAAACCCCTGTGAAGCGCCCAAAAATCAACCGACATTTCCGAATGCGCTGTACTAATTGCCGCTTTGGTTCATTTTCCGGACTTGCAATCGCTGGATAAACGGATTAGTTTGCTCTGCTTTCGCTGGGCTTTCCCCAAAAATTTCCCCCGGAAACAATTCGGACCTCATTTGCCATAATTGCATTGAATTTAATTTTTAGTGTAACGATGAGTACAGTTCAATTAGGTTTTGCACACGCACAGTAATAGCGAACTATATTTTATGTTGACATGCTTCTTCTGAGTTTTCGTAGCTTTTGCACAATAATCAAAATAAATTCCACGCCCAGAGTCATGTGTATTTCGCCAATATTAGAGCGAATTCTCATAAATGTTATGTCATTCGAGGGATCTAAATCCCTGACCACATTACGGGCCATAAAAAGAAGGGGTTTCAGATTTGTGACATATTGAAAAGTGCGTCTCTGACTGGCAGTGGATCGCAGGGGAACTCCGTGATTATCCAATATCATGATATCACGCGCTCCGCGATGACCAAAGAGATTCACGAATGCATCCCCATCATAGGATCTATGGCGACTGTGGAGGTTCAGAAATAAATAGGTTTATTTACAACACTGTTTTTGAGATATTAAGATACTTACGGCGCCGCCTTTTTGGGAATTGGTTGGTTTGTTGGTTTCGTCGATTTACGCACATTTTCTACTGTGGAATATCGTGAACTTTTCGACATTTCTCCGAGTTTTTATAAATTTAATAAGGAGTATTACTAGTTATCCAGAAAGACTGAGGGTAACCTGACAAATAAAGTTTAGCTCGCTAGTTCAAAATGGGTTTTAAATGGAAACCAGCATTCAATAATTCCGGAGGAAGTATATTCCAGCATTACAAAAATATTGAAATTACAAATTTAAATGAAAGCTGAACCATTACTTTGCTTCTATTTTTATGTGACAAAAATAAAACCAGTCAACTATCCAACGCTTAACTTTCTATAAAATTATGCAATTTCGAAACTATAGTTTGCATTTGGAGGTATAAAGATAAGAGTGTCCATTTATTTGAGTATACTTTGGAATTTGATTAAAACACAGTAAACATTGTCTGATTTATATGGGAATGCGAGTTCGCAGGTAGCTCAGCACCGCGGGAGTTCCCATCGACAGAATCTGATGACGCGGCTGGCGGAACGGATTGCCCCACAGTTCCAGGTTCTTGAGCTTGCTCATCTTTCCCAGGACTGGCGGCACCAGATTGATATCATTGTTCTTCAGATCCAGACTATGCAGTTCCCGCAGGCCACCGAGTCCCAACTCGCTGGCATCGATGCCCTTGATCTGGTTGTCGTGGGCCGACAGGGATTCCAGTTTCTCCAGTTCGTAGATGCACCTAGGCAGGTGATGGAACCTATTGTGGGAGATATCCAGTTCACGGAGCAACTGAAGACCACCCAGTTCCATGGGCAGATCACTCAAGAGATTACTGGAGAGGTTGAGGATCGACAGCTTGGAGTACTGCGAGATGTTGGTGGGTATATAGGATATCTGGTTCCTGGTCAGGTTTAACTGGTTGAGATGTTCGCCGAGCAAGTGGAGATCTTTAGGAACTTCGCGCAGTAAGTTGCCATCCAAGCTCACGATGTTAACCAGCTCCTGTTGAGCCGCCTCAAGAACCTCCATGGGCACATCCTGGATTTGGGCCTTCGAGACTCGAAGCACCCGGGTATTACGCATAAAATATTTATCCGGAAACGGCGACTGATTCTCCTCAGTAACTTCTTGTCCACCCTGCAGCCGCGGGCTATTCAATCCGTCATGAACCACAATCATATCGAGGATTATCTATTACTTATTCGGTTAATAGTAAAATTTTAGGGAAAAAATTCTATTCAACTTACTGAATTTTAAAAAATATAAGACCTTAGAAGTTGCTTCAACTGATTCAAATTTGAAACTGAAATATATATTCAGTCCTGACAAGGGTGAGCCCTATTTTGAAGTGACAGTATTAAAGAAGGTAATGCGATTTGTTTTATTTTTTTGCTAATGCACTATTACGAAATTTAAATTATATGTATTTTAAAAGAGAAAAAAACAATGGAGATATATTGTTTATACCCAACGTCAACCCATCCTCTACATTTAAAAGGGTAAACCTGTCTTCCGAGAATTTGAAATAGTCATATCTTTGCTATTTAAAGTTCTAGGAATCAACGAAAATTATTTTTCCTTTTATTACCTATATTGCATCTTATTTAATAAAATTAAGGATTATTAAAAATTTTAGGTTCGCAAGTTGTCTCAGTAAAAAACTGTTATTTTAGACAGCAGCTTACAGATTTTATTGGTGTAACAAGTTAATTTATTTTTAGGATTTCTAATATTCCTTTGATAGGGAATTCTTTTCTCGAGCGAATCAGTGGTAGATCCCAACCATCAACGGCGAATTTATGACTTTCTTAAAGCATTCCGCAATCCGTCAGCTCGATCATGTTGTGGCCCATGGGCAGGTGTCCACAGGCTCCCTGAATCTTCTCCAGCAGCTGCATCCCCTTGCAAACCTTCCCGAAGGCGATCCTCCTGCCGTTCAAAATGGACAGCGGCTTGAAGCTGATGGTGAAGTTGACCGCTTTCCGGGAGCTTGCCCTGACATAGCGACTGGGAAAGGATAGGATGCCGGCATCCACGCCATGGTTGAGCACCTCGAAGTCGTGCTCTATGTTGGTCACTTCGGAGTCATTGTTCTTGTCCATGGCCAGACGTCCCTCCATCCAGATGGGGGCCACAGCTCGGGTGAAAACGATGGAGTTGCTCTTGTTCTGAGTGCAGATCCTCATGAACTCCAGCACCACCTGGGGACAGGCCTCGGTGAAGAGCTGGATGGTCAGCCTGCCCTGGATGCGGGCCTCCCGCACCTCCAAATCCAGATAGATCTGCGGGCGCAGCAGCTTGCAGAGCATGCCCACATCGCATTGGTCCATCAATTTCTCGTAGCGATGGAGCACATGAAGGGGAATCTCGCAGCTGAAGGATCCCGAGGATTTGGGCTTGTTCTTCTTGGATTTACCCGCCTGCGGATCGAAGAGCTCGCCGCCCTTGTGGAACTCCTTGTTCTTCTCCAGCTGGCGGCGCTCCTTTTCCCTGGCCAAGTTGGCATTGCGCCATCTTCCAGCTGCCAATTTCTCCGGGGATTTGGTAAAGGTGCGTAGGGTATTATTGCTCTTCTTGTAGAGAGCAGTGAGCATCTCCATGTAGGACAGCTCCATGCCATTGCCCTCGATCTGGACCTTTGGGGGCGGCAGATGGGTGTTGACCTTGCCCTTGACGTTGGACAATCGAGCGCGGTGCTGGAGGTACAGTTCCCTCTGCTCATTCATCACCATGTGAGATCGGATCTTGGGCATTCCCCTCCGTGAGGTGGGCACGGGAATCAGTCGCTGGTGATGGCGATAGTTATTGGCCAGCTGCTCCTTCTTCACATTAAAGGTGTGCCTGGGCCTGGCCTCCTCCACCTGGCCATCCAAGCCCACCAGGTTGGGATTGGGGCTATTGTACACCGGCTGCGTCATCGTGTAGGGTCCACGCTTCACTGCCGCCACATAGGGAGTCATGGAGCTGGGTATCTGGGGGATTCTGCCCCGGGTATTACGCGGCACATCCCCGCGGATAAACATGGTGGCTAAGTAGGAAAAACGATTTTAATCTATATACTTGAATTTTAAATTGCTAAGCGCGTTTCGAGCGACCGGTTTTGTGAGGGGGGTTGAAAAACGTTGACTGATGGAAACAGTCGATTTATCCGGCATAGGTTACCTAGTTCAATACAAAAAAAATTAAAACAAAACAACCTGGCCAACATAATTATCTACCTAATGCTAATTTCATTAACTGAAAATGCGTGCCATGTGTGGCGGCTTTATATTCTTTGATGTGGAAAACAACATGAAATTGCAAAATTTTCGACATCAATTATTTATTTGATATATAAATGATATGCACATACTTATATACTGAACCCAGAGAAAATATAAAGTTCAATTTAATTATTTTCAACTATTTTGAGCGGAATTAACACTGCGGTGGCCTCATAAATGCAAACTTGTGTTCGCGTAATTAGTGATTTAATTAAAATCAGCAAAAATGCACGTCATTAAAACCGAAATATTTGCATAGTTGTGAGCAACTGACTATGCACTTCTAATTCCCATTGTTTAGCGGAAATTGTAACAGCTAGTTACCCCTCTACAACCGATTATAAACGTGCTTTTTTTGCAAATACTTCATTTATTATTGGTCATTTATTCAATCCGGCTTTGGTTTTATTTTCCCCGCTTTTGACTTTTTGTAATCGTTTATTAAATGGGGCATAAAATGGTTTTGACGGGTTTTGTCACTGGCAATTGGTATTTGGTAAGCCCATTGAACCGGCGGCCAAATGGACAATTAGCGGCCATAACACTTGAATTATTCTGTGACATGGTCTGAATAAATTGAAGAGCTTCAAATCTACTTGGTAGTTGACATAAAATTAACTAATTTCCATGAGCATACATAATCTATTATTTAATTCAGTTGGTAAAAACCCATATTTTTTCATTGGCAGCTTTATTAAATCAATAGCAGAGCTTTCACTGATTTACTTTTGTTCAAAACGGATTAAATAATATTAATACCATATGGTGCCCATAAACGTATGCAGATAGCGGGATAAAAAAACCCTATTCGAATAGCATTAATTGATTGTTAATATGGTAGGGCTTTTGCGGTCACAATTAAATGATTAATGCGATTGAGTGCGGTATATGCTTCCATGAATTAAAGATAAACGGGCTATGTGGGAGTCGGAAGGATATATAGTCTCGATAATCTGATGCATTAACGTCCTCCACTCAGCCGATTATGAGGACATCAGCTGAAGGACATCCCCTTTCCCAGAGAAAAGTGTCATTAGGGCAACGCTCTTATCGCTCAACAATCAACGTCAACGTGGGTGGATGGGTTGATGGGTTGATGCGTGGCTCTATAGACATTGAACCACTTAAGCGTTTTTTGTTCTCAAGTGTCACACCCACAGATGCATCAGTGCTCGTATCATCATCGTATCTTCATAGTTCCCAGTCCACAGTTCCCCGGCCCTCTCAACTTTCACCTCCACGACGTGTTTTGTACTTTCTCTAGTGCCATGCCATGGCATTCATATTTGATATTCATGTTTCTGGGTACATCTTAAAAATGTGTCAACAATAAACCCACACACCCGTGCGGACAAGTGACTGCAATTTGATCAAATACGTATGCGTTGCATCCGAGCCATTTTATTTTATTCTTTTTTATTTTATTTATTTTGCCCACAATGCCCTCTGACAAATATTCCGACCGGAATGCTTGACATCTTCAATAAACCACCGTTCGCATATTCTCATTGGTATGTCGGTCTGAGGTCGAGGTCGGGCTATATTTGAAATACTCCAGTTATCAGTTCTTTAATACTTGTAAACTTTATGGAAGCTTTAAATGTGTTTTGCATCTGGCTTCCTTAAAATACATCTGTATCTAGGTGCTCCTTTGAGTAAATTCTTAAAATATATTCACATTGGTTTATGGTCTGGTTCTATTTTAATACTTGCAAGCTTTATATAACTTTTAAAGCATTTCTGGTTTAATATGTCATTTAAAAATGAATCTATATGTAGGTGTTATTTATGGTAAGTTCTTAAATGCATATGATTGCTGCGAATAAAACAAAAGACCTAATTAAATCATTATCCTGAGATGATAAAATACCTTCAAATATCTTTATATCATTTTTGTGACCTTGTGTGCAATGCCCGTATTTTTCCCTATTATATTGTGTGCTATTTTTTATGGGGGAAAACAAAAGCCAGAGTCGTTAGTTAAGAGCATAATGGATCATAAATGCTTTGGCTGCGAAAATGTGATTTTATTCTGTCTGCTCTGACGCGTCTTTTGCCTCCATTATCCCGGCATCTGGCTTATGGATATGGAACCTGTCTTATTGCTGCCCCTGCTCCCGGATTAAATGTACATACACTTTCCTATAGATATGTACACATGGCGCAAGTGTGTATTTTTATGACATTCTGTTTTTGCTCAACTCATGGTCTGGAGCACTTTGTTCTTGTCATATTTTCTTACCGTCGAGTTGTCGGGGGAAAACCCGGGAAAACAGTGGAGGGAGATTTTGGTAAAACAGACGAAAACATGTAAATGGAATATGTAAGTATTTAAGCTGAGATTTAGCGGAGGAAAAGCCAAGGTTTGGTCAGGGGTTTACCAGGGGAAATTAAAAAGTGCTTGTAAAAGCATTATATATTTCCCCCACTAAGCCGCGACTTTAAGTCCGCTCTAGCCACTTCCATCCAGCCCATTTAATCAGCTCTAATTAGCCCATTGCCTCGGCTTAAATGCCATCAATTTCAGTCCTACGACTGAGCTTGTATCCCAATCCGACAACCGTTGAGTGTCTGAATTGGCTGAGCCCTAAAGCCATCAGTTAATTAATGCCATTAATGTCTTAGCAGTAGCCCTCGAAACCAGTAATTAACCGAGTTGACAAATCAAGTTTCCCCCAAAGGTACGGCTTCCATAAAGGATTATATCAGTTAGCAAGCGGTCTTAATTAACAATAAGCCAAGGTGTTAATAGCCCGTCGACAGAATACCCAAAAGTTCGGTTCCCGCCCAAAGATGTCATTCCGCCCGAAAAACATTTAATCCAATTGGGAGCCGAAGGTGGAAGCACACATTAAAAAACCATTTCAAAGGCTTAGGATCAGCCTTTCCCATCCCCAATTCCCAACTCGCATCAAAGTTGCCTACCTTTTCCTTAGGCCAAAAAGGTAAATGTGAAAAAGTTGTCGTGTCGAAGATGAAAATACTGAGATACAATTTTAAGTATCCATGTAATCCCTGAACAATTTATTAGCCAAGCAGTAGAATAGAAGAAGCCAATTAGGTTAATGTGTCGAAAGGAATCGAATGGTTCAACTGGGGAAAAAGTTGCTTTGTATATTTAACAAGTATAAGTACCCTATCTTGCATTAAATATAAACTTAATTTGTTCATGATTGAAGATTATAATTCCATTAACCAAATTTTAATCTCGCGGTAATCCTATCAATATTCCTTCCTTACCCTACTATTACCCCAGAATAACACCACCATAATCCTACCATAACCAATCCTTAACCAACACTATTTCCAGAGTTGTATAACATTTTAAACTGCGGACAAAATAATAGTTGTGCCGCAGCCTTTCATCTTTAAAGGTATGTTGTTTTAACTGATCCTACTCACATTTTTAGACATAGAACCGATTTATTAGGCATTCCAAGCTGATATGGACCTTTTATAAAAATAGTTTGTTTTATCTGTGTATTAAACCTTTAAATGCAGGTTTTTGTAACCCCTTTGGCATATTTATTTCCAAAAGGATTTGCAAGGAACACTTTTGCTTTGCCCTAATTAAATGCATAAAAAGAAGCCGCAAGCTTCATTGGTTCGAGCTGCAACTGCCAGAGCCAAAACCATTTAAATGCGGACATCTGGAGAAAGGAAACGTGAGGGTACAATTTAGGGTTAGAATGCAGGGACCCTTGCTTTTTGCTCCTGCAATAGCAATTTCCCCGGCCAAGCATTTCCAAGCTCCTCCTGGCAGGGGGCAAAGCACGAGTGTTCCTGAGACACTCACAAAGGGCTTGGCACGCTCTCAGAAACGGGGCTTACATGCGTTCCCTTTCCCTGCGTTGTGGAAAATGGAGGAAAATGGCCACAGAGTTGGCTCTGAAAAGCCATTTATCAAGACATTGCATAACAATAGCGCCCTGCGCCCTACCATAAAGGATATTCAAAGCGAGTTAAGCTTTATGATTTGAACACGTGTTAACAACACATAAAAGCAAGCAAAGATTTCGCCAAAGGCAAAGCGAGCAGATTCCAACTAAATAACACTGAATCCCAGATGGATTTAGTGAAGCAGAAATAACTGAATCGCCTCTGTTCGGATCCCAAGATTTAAAAAGTGAAATAAGTAAATGCTTTTCCAGGGTGCTCTGGTCCAGTGTAAACACCGCCCCACACTGTTTTCATAATTTATACCGCAGCCAACAAACAAAATAACTTTTGAAAGGGCAAAAATATTGCCGCTGGGCATGCGCCTGAGTGCAACTCGCAAATTGCACGGATCATAAATTAGAATCAAAAGCAAAGAACTCATAAAACTGAAAAAAATGTATAACTTATCGAGGTAGTTTACTTTTTATATATGGTTTACTCAGTCTACTCCCTATACTTTTTCGGGTTGTGGTAAATCATTTTAGTTTAATAGTCATCGTAATTTCAGATCTGTTATGATAGAGGCGGTATTACCAACAAACCATTTAAAAATAAGAAAAATGGTAAGATGTAAACAGTTTTGGTTTTTGAAAGGTGTTTTTTCAGAAAAAAGTTTCCAAAACTAAAGATCTACAGATTTCTACAGCTCAAATCTTAAGCTAACAAACCACTTTTCTTTAAAAAAAAGTTAAAATTAAATTTTTTGTTAATTAATTTTTGAGTTATTCATTATGAGTTACATAACGATTGCATATATATTATTTTTTATTAAAATAAAAAGTGCACGTTCGATTAAAAATTGATTTCAATTCGAGGTATTACAATCCGTATTTGAACCCATGTTGCGTTTTTTGGCAAAACATATATATTTCTTATAAAAAACATTGGAAGATGGATGTTTTTAAATAGGAAACTATTTTCAGTGTGTGTT